TCTTAATCTCCAAAAGCCATGTTTTTTCTTTATTAAATGAGTATATAAATGATAAAAATATTTCTTTGAAATTTGATCTAATTTAGGTCTGAGCACAAGCCATACTAGAGAAGGGAGAACATGGGATATAATTTCACTGTTTCTCTTGTGGTTTAGGCTCAAAGCTAAACTTACGCAGAAAAGAATGACATCAGAGAGAGAAAAGGAAAAGTTAAAAATGGCTGCGTGTTTTGAAATGCAGATCATTTTATTTTTAATTAAAATATTATGTAAAGAACTAAAGAAATTAATAGGGTACACAAAAATGGCTTTAGTAAAATGATGCTGTGTTAAGAAAGCAAGCCTTTTAATAGAAGAGGTTTACTTGCTCTACTACTTACATATATGTGAGATTAAAACTTCTCTGAGCATTTTAATACTAAAGATGAATGTGTTATTTAATCTCTTACTCAGAGGTATATGTTGTCACTGCAATATATTTTCTTTTGCACAGTTACTGAAAATATTTGTGAAATAAATACAGCTTTTGAATTTACTCATTTATTTGGGCCTTATTTCATATGAGAATTTAAAGGAATTAAAAATGTCTTTAAAACATGGTGACTCAATTCTCCTATAAGAAAAAATAGGAGTAAAGGGAAAAGATTAATGTGAATCAGGAAAAGTCTTACTATGCAAAAAGGTGTGTCATCATGTTCTAAACAATGGTCCCTAAATCTAGTTCCAAGCTGAGAAAATGAAGAGAATCTCCGGAGTTTACAGTATCCCTAAATAAAAATAAGCCAAATCTTCAGGATATGCCAGGATGTTTTTTGTATATAAATCTGAAAGAAATCCTGTGATAGGTAAAGTAATCAAGAATGAACACTGCTACTCTGACCTGAGAAACAGCCTAGAAGGGTGTCTAACCTCAGGTGCTATTATGTGTCAGGGCGTTGACACTAATGGGGTTCACCTATGTCCATTCATTCGTTCTAATAATGCATGGTGTAAAATATTCATGACCTAATGGAGGGTCATATCAGAGAAGATATTATAAAATTAGAGTGGGGTACAAGGTCTTGGATGAAGAGAAGCTGATCATCTATAATGAGGCCATGACTTAAAGTGGGGGAGAGGTGAGTGCTCACTCCCTCTACCTAAACATAAAACCAAAGTGGACAAATGCCAGGCTGAAGCATTCACTTTTTCCATAGCAATTTATTGCCACTAATAAAATGCAAAATTACTCATGACTTTCCCTACTGTAGTTTTGGTGGGTGGGAGGGGGAGTCTGAGTATGTTGTATAACCTATTTACATATTAGCAAAAATTTAGTACATCACTGGAATATTCTGATTTGCTTTCAGTTTTAACAGCTGCATTAATTCTGCCAAATAGTTTTTGCTGGCAGAAGTGAGCAGTGCCCTGTTTTCCTCAGGTACAAAAATCCCATGTAACTTCACATGAATTAGAAAAAGATGTCTCATCTAGATAGATCATCTGACCAATGCACAATTTGGGAAAAAAAGACACATTTTTTTTTCAGTGTAATAAGTCAGAGAATATGGTCATTGAACAAAACCCATATTAAACATCATCTCAAGTTTGCAAAACCCATGTTAAACATCATCTCCAGTTTGTCTCCACTAGTGTCTGGTGTGGGGCACAAACTGTACAATGGCCTTGGCCAGGCAGAAAAAAAAAAAAAAAGTCCACAAATACGTGTCTCTGTGTGATGGCGGGTGGAGGACTCAATGTAAAAGAGAAAATGAGCAGTAATGACACTGTGGTCTATTAGTGCATGTGTTAGCACTTATTCTGATGTACCAATATTTCATTGAAATAATTTTTAAAATGAGTCTCTGGGATGAGCATAGCATCTTGGTTCTGGGTGTTTGAAATTTCAGACAGAAGGAAAGGAGAGATCTTAGAACATTAACTGGCATCTTCAGGGAGCCACATGGAGGGAAACTGCTATGCTTACCCTGGGATTTGTTGTTGTTGTTATGGTTGCTGTTTGGGGAAGGGGACTTTTAAGTGGCATTCATGGAAAGTAATCCCAGGGAAAGCATACCAATCTCATCTAACAGAGGATAAAACACATGAGTTCACTGAGATTGTTCTAGTGGAAGTAACTTCTGTTTTAGATTCTGACATGTTTAAAACTCTGTTCCTAATTGCCACGGGGAATCTTCCTGTATGTGATAACTATAGAATCTGCCTTGAAGTTTAGATCTTTTTCCTGATTTATTAAACTATATTACAAAGCAAATGATCTAATATGCATAATGTTATAGAGCAATAAAAAATATTTAATTTTTAGAGAGAAAAACCCTACTTTTTAAAAAGTTTCTCAACATGCACACATACTTATATTAACAGACATTTAAGAGCTAGTTTTATTTTAGTGTGGTGTGGGCATTATCTGTTTTCATCAATTGGGTCTCAGCAGAGCTTTTGCCCAAAGTTGGTCTCCACTTTAACTCTCAATCATACTGGCAGTTGCCAACAACTAACTCCTAGGGAAATGTGGACAAAATGCAGGGGAGCTTCTGTGAAGTAGCCCATCCAAATCCCAAGCAACAGATGTTCATTAAAATCTTGTACCAAGTATTTGAAAGGCCATTTTGAGAAATTAAAGTGCTGCTTTCATGTACCGAATAGATGATCAAATAAGCCTTTTTAAAAATTTAAAATATTTTAAATAGTTTTGAACACAAAAATAGCAAAACGTAGCTTTCCCATGAGTAATTTAATTGTAATCGTCATTCCTCAAGAATTTACCACTATTCTGTGCTTACCATCATTAAGTCATTGGCTATTGTCATTCATTTACCACTGTAGGTCACAGGTTCTCAGTAGATAATATTCTTGAATATTTTAACAAAATACTTTGAAAAACTCAACCCTTGAATTTAGAAATAGCATCTTTACAAGAGAATCTTATAATCTCTTTTCTCTATTTTCTGTTGAGACAAATAATGATTACAACATGGTTTCTCTAATACCTTCTGCATCGTGGGCAAGCTTTTCAACAAATTCTCCAAGGGACTTTGCTCTTGTGTTGGTCCTCTCAGCATCCTGTCCCGTTTGCTCACCATCTGCTGTCACTTTGGTAGCCTAATGATCCAAATTTGGGAAAAGCATAATTAATAGAGATGATAAAGCTACAGTGAGATAAGCTCCCACTGGCTATATTTTCTTTCAAATATTACTTTGAGCCAAAAGCAATCGATGAATTATTGATCAGAAGTACTGGAAATGACACCCCATGTTCAAGTATACAATTAAACTTTATTACTTCTTCCATTAAATGAAAATCAGAGAGCTGTATTTAGTCTTTTTAAAAGACTCATTATATGTGATGGCACAGAAGAAGTGATAAAGCACAACTATTTTTGAAATATCTGTAAGGTACTAATGCCAAAGTCTTTATGAAATCTTTGGGCTCCATGTGTTGCAGGTTTGTCTGCCTTTTATTTGAAAACATGAGGAGACCAGCAACCATCTCTTGGGGGAAGAATAGGCAGTCTGTCTCAATAAGCTTGATCCTATAGATTCAGTGTAGATCAATACGTTAATTAAAGAAACAAAGGGTAGAAGTGCTTAGTTATCCAGTAGTAAATGCTTGTTGTATAACACTTCAAAGATGCCAGTAAAACATCAAGAGAGAATAAATACTAACTTTCCTATGTGTCATTGGCAGAAATAGGGCACAGAACCATATACCATATGCAAAATAAAAAAGAACTCTCAAACAGCTCTACCTCCCAAGGAGGACCTTATTCATATTTACCTCTGTTTACATTGAAGATGCCATTTGATACAATGGATTGTTCAGAGTTAAGACAGAGCATAGTCTAATACAAAAGATCTGTAAAATGTTAAATGTTTCTTTAAAAGGCACTACAAAGTTTAGAGCACCTTGACACAGGTTTACTCTTCACTTTTCTATGTGTACACATATATGAATGAAAAGGACTTCTCTTTTACTAAAAGGATGCAATCTAACAACAGATATGAATCAGAGAATCACAAACTGCCTCAATACTGCTGTGAATGCAGTCCAAGTTGGCAGAGTATTAATGCTCTACAGTCTTGATTGACCAGGGTCCTTACATTCTAAGCATGGCCAAAGGATTCATCTTTTTCTATTTTAAATATTTTAAGTAGAACTAAATGTCTGGCCTGTACAGAAATGGCAAGAGATGCCACAGGAATTGCTCTGCATTTTGTGTTTTCCCAGGGGCAGTAAGAAGTTTAATTTATGAAAGGTTTCAAGGTTTTGCATAAAAGATAGAATAAAAATCCAACTATTATCATCCAATTTCTCAATTTGCTAGTGTGTTAACAATACAAAATGATGAAAAGGAAATAATCCATTGGAAAAATTTAAAATCTTCTCTTTGCAGTTTGCTATACATATACACTGAGACTTGTAGAATATTAATCAATATATTTAATGTTCTAGATTTATTCTTCTAATGTATTAATAATGGGATTACTTTCACTTTTGGATTTTAAAAAATTCTTTTTGGTAGTAAACTGTGCATAAAATCCCTAGGTATTACAAATATGTCCTAGTAATTTCTTTCATATGTTTGCATTTAAGAATCAGATGCTCAAATCACTTTTACACACACACACACACACACACACACAATACACACATAAACACTTTACACATGTAGTTATTTAAGAGTTAGTTTTGAATCACTAAAGTCAACTGCTTTAGATGTCACAGGATTAGACAAGGGGGAGTAAAGGGAAGGGAGGGGTGATAGGAATAGGAAAGACAGTAGAATGAATAGGACATAGCCTTCCTGTGTTCATACATGAATTTACGATCAGTGTAATTCCACATCATGAACAACCATAAAATGGGAAGTTATGTTCCATCTATGTATGATATGTCAAAACACATTCTACTATCATGTATAACTAAAATGAACAAATTTTTAAAAAATTAAAAAGCATGCTTCAGAAATTTGTCTTTTTCTCTTGTGGCTTATTTACTTTTGTTTAATGAGTTTAATATTAAGAGTATTAGATGATATTTGAGAAAGGCATAAAACAGCTAATATCACCAAAACTATAGTTCTCTAGTCTAACCCTATCTGTACTCTGATATCACTTCCATTTTCACCTAAATGAAAAACAATGATAAGGGACTCAATCTGCAATATGGTCATTGTTCAATATATTATCTTAAGAATTAATGGATCACCAGCACTGTTATCTCTTAATATGCAAAATATGTACATTATAATTTAAGCTAAAGTATTACAAGTATTCACACCATCAAACTAACCAATTCTTATGAATAACTCAAGCATCAAACTTTTTAAAATATGATGTACTTAAGCACACCACTTCCCACATTCCACATGACCAAGATCACATTCATTGTCTTCACTTCTCCTATTGGCCTGCTGTAGTAGGTGTAATGTGAAAAGTCATTGCCAACAAACATTGAACTCTCAGTACCAATTGTATGAGTACTTCAATATTGAGATATTAAGAATCTTGCATGGGGCTAGGAATGTGGCTCAAGCAGTAGCGTGTTCGCTTGACATGCGTGCGGCCCAGGTTCGATCCTCAGCACCACATACAAGCAAAGATGTTGTATCCGCTGATAACTAAAAAGTAAATATTAAAAAATTCTCTCTCTCTCTCTCTCTCTCTCTCTCTCTCTCTCTCTCTCTCCTTTAAAAAAAAAGAATCTTGCATGTCTTGTGATAAAAACATATTTACAAAGGAATCACTAAGGCCCTTTGCAATCAACCTCCCTGGCTTCCTTTTAGTATATTAAATATGCCAAGCTTTTCCCTTTTTAGGGACTTTTTGTGTATCCTGTTGTTTTTGCCTGTAATATGCTTCTTTTTGTCTCTCTCAGTGATGGGACCTTTATCATCCATCAGTTTTCAATTTGAGTGGCTCTTCTTAGCCATTCCCAAGTGCCTATTCAGGTCTCCACATTTCTCCTGCATCAGGATACTTCCTTCATCGCATCCTTCAGTTTAGAATTAATTATTTCATTTTAATAAATAAGTGATTGATTTACTATTACTGACTTACTATTTGTTAACTACCTCCCAACTAAAAGGTAAGCTCTAAGAGGGCAAGTAGTTGGTCTATTTTGCTAATCACTTTATATTCATCATCTAGTATAATGGCTACTTTACAGCTAATATTCTCTGAGTGTGGTTAAATAGATGACTGAAAAACAATTTTTTTTATTGAATCTTGTCACCCTCATTACCACATTACTATTCTTACTTATTTTCTTTTTTGGAAAAAAAGATTTTGTTTATATTATTGATTCTTAACTTCTCTCCACTTACTCCAAATATATCCAAATTTTGCAATTCAGTTCCAGTCTCATATTCTCTGGAAAGGCATCCCTGCTTATTCTAGTGCATGCTCTCCTTAGATTTTCAACCTTCATTAGTACCATTCATAACTGCAATGGTAGTTACTTTGCTAGGTGCTTTGCCATATCTATCTCATCTTCATCTGTGGAGCCTAAAACTCATAGACTTTCTTCTTTTGATTCCTTAGAGTGCAAGGCACAGTGCCTGGTAAATTGTAGGGGGTCAAAAATGTTGAGTGACTGGTTGATATAATGATAATCAAACCACCTAGCCCTTTCAAGTTCTAAAGCCTGTTGGAGGATTCCCAAGGCCATTAAAACTGACCATATGCCTGGAGCTATGCTTGCCAGCAAATGCAGACATTTGAGCAGTTTTCTGGGAATCTCTTAGAGCTCGTCAGAAGCTGTGGCTCAAGGGCTGCAGCTGAGTGCTTGGGAACACAGCCAGGCATGAGGACCTCCAGTTGTAACCACACTGTATTCTAGCCACTGTCCTCATTGTAATTCAAAACTGAGCCTGTGATTATGCACTAAGCTCCATGCTGGTGAGGGTTGAGTAGAGGGAGGGGTGGATAAAAGTTTTCAGAACCACCATAGGGCTTACTAAGAAAGACACCCTTCCTTTTCATGTACTAGAACTTCCTCTGTTGGCTACAATCCAAAAGAGGAGGAGATGAGAGTTTTCTGGCACTGAAAGCATTGACTTATGTGGATTAGCACTTTGCAAGATGGTTTATAGAGTCAGGCTCAGCTGTGCCCAGATTGATATGTGTGTTTGGAAAGGTTTACATCACTCTCGTAGGTCTCATTCACCCTAACTGATTTTAGAGATATGTGGGGGCATGATTGTTACTTTCACACAGGTGAAAGTGAAGGTACAGAAAGATTTAGTGGCGACATAAATTCATACATCAGAAATTTGGGACAAAAAGACAAATTTGTACAATATTTGTCTGTACCAAATACTATTTTATATTTGGCTAACATCCAGAAGGACTGGAACAAATATAAAAAAAGCTTAGCATTCCGAGGGAGGAGAAAATTGCTACAGCTTGTGTAGTACATTACTTGTCATTACTTGTACATGTAAGTTTTGGCCTTTCGTCAGTTAACATGAGGTCTATAACAGAACAACATCTAGATATATTTTTTAAAAGCATGTCTCATTATATTGTAGTGAAGTTGAAGAGTCACTCTGGTCAAAATAAATGAAAGATACCATAAAGGAGGACCACGACAAATGTTCTACTACCTATAGATAGTAGTGATTGCTAGTGTATCATTGTGAAAGTAAAATTCACAAAACTCAGGTTTCCCTAGGACAGGCTAATATAATGCTTCATATATATGAATGCTCAATAATACATGATAGGGGCTATCTGTTGGACCCAGCTTGGTCTTCCTGTGTTTCATTAAATTACCATCCCCATCCCTTAGTCATCTTTCTCTCCTTCACTATTATCTTGTTCTTTTGGTATTTGATAATTATCTCATTTACTGTAATATGATGTACAGGTTTCCCTTCATTCTCTAGTTTAGATTTTCTTATTTTAGCATCCCCTTGCCTCTGTACCGCCATCATTCCAATGTTCGTCTGTAAAGATGCTTTAAACAGTATCTCACATGCATCTTTCCTACCTTTGATTACCTTTATTTTTTTAACATTCAAGTTCACTCAGGTCTCCCCCACTCCCTTTTATTTTCCTTTTATTTTCTGGCTTTTGTTTTTAAAGTATTTATATCCAAG